TTGTGAATTCTGTTGTTTTTTCAAATGACCTGAATTTATCAACAGTTCAATACTATATAATGTCTGTTTTTATCATGAATTTCAAGGTCTGTAATATTTTTTATTTAGGTTCGGGCAATATTTGTAACTGCCATTCTCGATATCATGTTAAAATTATTATAGTTTAAAATTAAAAAGTGTTTATGTTATCTAACTTCAAGTGTTGACACTATTTTTATTTAGGTCATTTGAATGTGTGGAAAAATATGTAATAAACACATCAGTCTTCAAGTCCTGAAAACGTCAGATAATTCTTGACAAGACAATTTTTCATTCGTCAAAATCAGACGAATTTCATCCACTCACTGACTGTTTAAGGACAGAACTGCCTGACGGCTGAGTGGACAGCGCTCGGGATTCGTAGTCCTAAGGTTCTGGATTCGGTCCCCGGCTAAGACGGAAACAAATGGGTATAATTTCTTTCACCCTAATGCACCTGTTCACCTAGCAGTAAATAGGTATCTGGGAGTTAGACAGCAGCTACGGGCTGCTTCCTGGGGGGATGTGTAACAAAAAAGGAGGCCTGGTCGAGGTATTTTACAAACACATTTACACAACCAGCTTCATGGCCAGTCATGCTTGGCTGCTGCTGTTGCCTCAATTGTTGCAGGTGTGTGTGGGGGTGGGGGGGGGGGGGGGGGGGAAAGAAGATCACCCCCTCCTCCCCCATTAGCGTCTAGACAATGACCGTTGAGAACTGACCAATCCCAAGGCAGATACAGTGACACGTGACCTCTCAAGTCACCTCCCATTAGTCCACATAGAAAACGTGTTTCAACTAGAAAGCCATCTTGTTCTAATAGAACTTTCCACAAGTAGAACATAACAATCGCTTCTGCTAAGTAAGTACTTATAGTAACTATAACCACCACCTTTCATATATTGACGTAATAGGCAATGATATAGTACATATATGTACTACACTATTGTACTACACTACACTGGGAGCCAGTCGGCCGAGCGGACAGCACGCGGGACTTGTGATCCTGTGGTCCTGGGTTCGATCCCAGGCGCCGACGAGAAACAATGGGCAGAGTTTCTTTCACTCTATGCCCCTGTTACCTAGCAGTGAAATAGGTACCTGGGTGTTAGTCAGCTGTCACGGGCTGCTTCCTGGGGGTGGAGGCCTGGTCGAGGACCGGGCCGCGGGGACACTAAAGCTCAGAAATCATCTCAAGATAACCATAACGACCACCATTCATATATTGACGTAATAGGCAATGATATAGTACATATATGTACTACACTAGGCCTAGGAACATTTAAGTTTGTTTTTGAGCCTCATGTATTTCGAACTCTTGTAAAATGAATGGTACCAAATTCAACTATCTATTTGTACATTGCCATCGTAACGGACAAATAGATAGTATCCAAATAGTATCCATTTATGTATGTAGGATGGACCACATGGGTGAACAGTCTAACAAGGAGGATGGGTTGTAACTATTGAATAGTCTCTGGCAACTTTATACGTCGTGAACATGATTGATTAGGACTGTCAAGGAGAGCAGGGTTAAGGCTGGACTGTCAAGGAGAGCAGAGTTAAGGCTGGACTGTCAAAGAGGGCACAGTTAAGGCTTGACTGGGCACCATAACATTATATGTACCTCCAGGTAAATATGTTACGTTCATATGCCCTTCGAGTACATAAATGCACTTAGATCGACGCTGAAGACAAGGCACTTGATGACCCGCACTTCAGCTGTCTGGCTTCCACTTTACCTTCGAGTGTAAACAAGGTGTAGATGGATATTAATTATGTCTGCAGGCGAGCCTCGTCAGCGGGCCTCAGGGCGTCCGGTGATTGATCTTGCATTATTAATTAAATTCCTGTCACTGCTGTAATATTCCTACTTGCGGATCTGGGGCCAGATTCACGAAAGCACTTACGCAAGCACTTACGAACCTGTACATCTTTTCTCAATCTTTGGCGGCTTTGTTTACAATTATTAAACAGTTAATGAGCTCCGAAGCGCCAGGAGGCTGTTTATAACAATAACAACAGTTGATTGGCAAGTTTTCATGCTTGTAAACTGTTTAATAAATGTAACCAAAGCCGTCAAAGATTGAGGAAAGATGTACTCGTTCGTAAGTGCTTGCGTAAGTGCTTTCGTGCATCTGGTCCGTTTACTAATCCAGCATCAGTCGTCGATCTGTGTTCACAGGTCGTTACAAAGATGCTTCTAATTGCAGCATATGGTTGCAATTACAGTGTATAATGGAACAATTAGTGCTAATTATATTTCCCGGTGGGATCTTAGGGTAAAGATAGTGCCACCTGTCTAATATAGACCAGTTTATTTCCGTGTTCCGATATGGGACCAGCCCCTCTAATATTTTTCCATGTCAATTATTATGTATCTATAATCTTTGCATGTTCTGCAGGTCGTCATTTTCTATAGCTTTGAATGAGGCTGTTAGAGTGCAACAATATTGGAGTCTTGAGTGCGTCTTGAAGAGTATAATCATTGGTATGACATTTCTTATTTTTTAGAGGTTCTATAGTCTGTCAGTTTTCTTGCAGGTGTGACGGCTACTATATTGTGTTCTTTAAAGTTAAAATCTTTTACATTGTTTTTCGTTTTATAACACAATTTGACTGTTTTATGCGATTTCCGTTTTTTTCCCAAAATGGACTGGAATTTATGTCATGAACGTCATATTTTCTGTGGCCCATTGAAAGACCTGATTTACATCAGATTTGGAGGTTTAATGTGTCCTCTATGTTGTCTACTCTCATAAATCTATCAAGTAAGATCATCTACTGATCTTCTTAGCACTCTTTCAAAGATTTGTATGATGTGTGAACGTTAATGCTATCGGTCTGTAATTCTTTGTCTCTGCTTTATTTCCTCCTTTATGGAGTGGTGCTATCTCTGCTGTTTTAATATGTCAGAAAACGCCAGTATCTAGGCTCCGTGTTCAAAAAATGTTAAGGAACTGCCAAAGTGATTTATTTTTTTTTACAAGTGCAGAGGACCTGGTGCAGAGTGACTACGGCTATTTCAGAGTCCAGTAGGGTTTGGGTGACACCTGATATATGATTTGATGTCTGTATCACATTCATGAAGAATTCATTTGGGTTATCAATCTGAAAACGGAGTCGTACTGATTCCTCAGTATTTCGCTCATTTCTTAGTTGTCATCTGTCAACGTTCCACCTCCCTTGTGCTGGGGGACAATACTGGATGTAATTTTTGGTCTAGATTTTGCACAGGAGAAAAAATATTTTAGATTCCTTTCCAACATCGACCATTGCCCCAAAATTTAGACTGCTGTGTTTGTCTAGCTATAGTGACCCAGACCCACCAACATAGACCCATACCCCAGGCCAATAGAGATCCATACCCCAATCCAACATAGACCAGTACCCCAATCCAACATAGACCAGTACCCCAATCCAACATAGACCAGTACCCCAGCCCAACATCGACCAGTACCCCAGCCCAACATAGACCAGTACCCGAGCCCAACATAGACCAGTACCCAGGCCAACATAGATCAATACCCTAATCCAACATAGACCAATGACCCCGTCCAACATAGACCAGTACCCCAGGCCAACATAGACCAGTACCCCAGGCCAACATAGACCAGTACCCCAGCCCAACATCGACCAGTACCCGAGCCCAACATAGACCAGTACCCGAGCCCAACATAGACCAGTACCCGAGCCCAACATAGACCAGTACCCCAGGCCAACATAGACCAGTACCCGAGCCCAACATAGACCAGTACCCGAGCCCAACATAGACCAGTACCCGAGCCCAACATAGACCAGTACCCCAGGCCAACATAGATCAATACCCTAAGCCAACATAGACCAACGTCCCCGTCCAACATAGACCAGTGTTCCCTGTCTAATATAAACTAGAGGTTTTGTACAACATAACCTGTCTTTTTTTTTAAAGAGGCCTTTACAATAGACGAAACCAAATGGCAGTTGTAATTTAATGGCGCCTCATGCATGTTGAGAGTCTGGACCGTGATAACCAACACGGTTCAGATATCACCGGCTGATATCACCAGATATCAGCTGCATAATGTTCCAACAGCCCAATTTGAATGTGAAAGGATATCCGAGTTATAAACAGTAGGGATATTAAAGTGAAAAATCAATATATCTACCAGGATTGGGGTTCTGGGAGTTCTTGTACTCCCCAAGCTCGGCTCGAGGCCAGGCTTGGACTTGTGAGAGCTTGGTCCGACAGGCTGTTGCTTGGCGCGGGCCACACAGGCCACATATTCACAACAGCCTGGTTGGTCCTAGCTATATAAAGTTCGAAATCAGGCAAATGATTGGTAACAACAAGACATATTATGGGAATGGAGTATACGTGTGTATTAAAGGGTATAACACAAAGGTGATTTTAATGGGGGGTAGTGAGTATATCTACACAAAAGAGAACACGAAATAATGGGTACTATTTGTATGAGTTTAGATTCACCAAAGACCTGAGTGAATAATGGTAAGGGAATAAGATTTGTCGACACGAAACACATTACCAGGTAACGTGATAGGTTCGGGATCCTTCGAGTGTTTCAAGCGTAGGTTAGACATGTATGTAAAGGCGTTTAGCGTTGGTTATAAATAGCCGCTGCCTCATAGGGCCATATCCCTGGAAACACAAACCGAAACTGTCCCTATTTTCCGCTTGTTACAACTTGTAATAAAGTTGTTACATCTTGGCTTAACGTGTTTATAACGTATTAGAACGTTGTTACAACTTGCTATATTGGTTGTTATAACTGGTTAGGTGGTGTTAAAACTTGTTCCAACGTTGTACCAACGTCGTGGCGGGTATTAGGCCCCCCCACATGCTGAACAAATCCACAAAGGCCGTGACGAGGATTCGAACCTGCGTCCGAGAGCATCCCAGACGCTGCCTTAATCGACAACACACATGCTTACTTAATCACATGCTGCTTCATCTATTCTAACGTGTCGTGTACCGTTTCAGGTGGAGGTTCGCGTACCGGCGTTCCTGGCGGCCGACGCAGCCTACCTGGAGGGCGTGGTGGTGGCCAACTACACCTCGGGGGCCCCCATCACCGGCAACGTGACTGTCAGGGCCGCAGTGAGGCCCGTCGGGCCCAGGGCCTTCCCGAACTACGGCCCGGACCCTTCGCTAGCTCAGCCACACGCCATGGTAGGTGCTGCCCGCTTCATACCTGCTTGACGGGGGTTCTGGGAGTGCTTCTACTCCCCAAGCCCGGCCCGAGGGCAAGCTTGATGTGTGGGTAGGGAAGGGAAGAGAGGGACAGGGAAGGGAAGAGAGGGACAGGCGAAGGTAAGGTGTGAGGGAAGTGGGGTAGAATGGAAAAGGAGGATAGAGATTTAGGGTAAATTCTCATACGAGATCAACAGATTGGAATATGATGAACTCGTAACAGTGTTAAGGTAAGTTTGGTGGACGGTAGTGGTGGGGGTTAGGGTGGATGAAGGGCAAGGCGTCTACATTAGGGCAAGCTTACGGCCCTGAAGCTTAGGGCAATGGCCATGAACACTGGTTAAGAAGAATGATAAAGATTAAGCCACCCAAAAGGTGGCACGGGCATGAATAGCCCGTAAGTGGTGGCCCTTTTGAGCCATTACCAGTATCAATAGCTGATACTAGAGATCTGTGGAGGTGCAACTGCACCCTGCGTGACGGGAGATGTCTCCCGTGACTGGTTAAGGTAAAGTGGGATTAATTATGCCTCAGGCAACGAAGCTGAATAAGGGATTAGAGAGAACTGAACGAGGAACAAACAAAAAAGGGGGGACTGAGCTACAAATACATTTGAATAGGAGCAGGGAAAGGGATCAATGTAATGGGGGGCAAAGTTGTCAAGTGAAAGAAAAGGGTCATATTGAGACAAAATTGACAACAGTATCACAAACAAAAACAGAACAAAAAATATGATCAAGAAATATTAAGAAGACAATTCTACCGAAGCTTCATACATTCTTGAAGACCCGGAGAGTCCACGAGGAAGGCGGCTGTGGAGACGCCAACTTAGCGAGAAGTTGACGTCTTGGTACAATAAGAAGTACAACTTAGCAGTCCAACACCGAGACGACGTGAGGCCAAAAATCTTATGTGGTGCTCCTCAAATTATCTTAAGTGGAACGCCTGTGAACGACCTGGTTGGTGGAGAACGAGGCAGCTTCAAAGCTGATGACGCAAGCTTAGCTGTGAAGCTGTAGGGATTCAGACCAACATATTTTCCTCTTGGAATTCCATAAAGAATTTTGGAAAGAAGAAATTGCCTAGCGCGTGAGAGCGGTACAGGAGCCAAACTTCGCCAAATGCTTCAAAGTGCTCGTCTTTACGAAGCCTCTGCATCTTATCTCAAATCTAGGGAACTAAGTTTGTAGAAAGTGAAGAGACGACGACGTTTCGGTCCGTCCAGGACCATTATCAAGTCGCGTGAAAGAAGAGAGGAAGGCACAATTGCGTGATGCATCAAATGAACGTCCGGATGCTCTCTGACGCAGGTTCGAATCCTCGTCACGGCCCTTGTGGATTTGTTCAAGAGAGGAAGACACAGGCGAATGTGAGGTAAATGAGTGAGGAGAGGAGCAGGTATGAGAGAGAGATAAGAATGGGATGAATGTAAGAAAAAGGAAGGAGAGAATACGAAAAGAGTTAGGGATAAGCAACAGAGGCCAAGCTTAAGTCAGATCACGTTTGTTTAGAAGGTTGCGGCATGCGAGTGTACTGTGCAAGGGAAGAGTTAACAGCAACACAACCAGGACTAAGGTTCATGTTGGGTATGAGAGTATGTTGGGCACATTGTGTATGAGACCATGTTGGGCACGTTGTGTATGACACCATGTTGGGCACAGTGTGTATGAGACCATGTTGGGCACATTGTGTATCAGACCATGTTGGGCACATTGTGTATCAGACCATGTTGGGCACATTGTGTATCAGACCATGTTGGGCACATTGTGTATCAGACCATGTTGGGCACATTGTGTATCAGACCATGTTGGGCACATTGTGTATCAGACCATGTTGGGCACATTGTGTATCAGACCATGTTGGGCACATTGTGTATCAGACCATGTTGGGCACATTGTGTATCAGACCATGTTGGGCACATTGTGTATCAGACCATGTTGGGCACATTGTGTATCAGACCATGTTGGGCACATTGTGTATCAGACCATGTTGGGCACATTGTGTATCAGACCATGTTGGGCACATTGTGTATCAGACCATGTTGGGCACATTGTGTATCAGACCATGTTGGGCACATTGTGTATCAGACCATGTTGGGCACATTGTGTATCAGACCATGTTGGGCACATTGTGTATCAGACCATGTTGGGCACATTGTGTATCAGACCATGTTGGGCACATTGTGTATCAGACCATGTTGGGCACATTGTGTATCAGACCATGTTGGGCACGTTGTGTATCAGACCATGTTGGGCACATTGTGTATCAGACCATGTTGGGCACATTGTGTATCAGACCATGTTGGGCACATTGTGTATCAGACCATGTTGGACACATTGTGTATCAGATCATGTTGGGCACATTGAGCCCTGATTCGACAAGTCGGTGTCTGTGAAGATTAGAAAGCAAGAACGATCATTTTAGATAATTGCTCGATAAGGTTCTGGGAGTTCTTCTACTCCCCAAGCCCGGGCCCGAGGCCAGACTTGGACTTGTGAGAGCTTGGTCCAACAGGCTGTTGCTTCCAATCTATAGGATGATTTAGAGTCCCTAACATGACAGAAGAGAGCAGTGTTGGTGTCTACAGACTTGATACGAAACAAAGGACCTCCGGCACAGGAGAAGGTAAGATCCCTTTCCATTCTTGCCTTCAGCATCAGGGCGAAAGAAAAAATAGAAAATTTATAAGGAATAGAAAGGAAATAGAAAATTTACACAAAAGGTTTAGGTCAAATGGGAAGCAAAAGGGACAAAAAAATTTAATGGGTGAACTAAGGGGTTGTAAATGAGACTATGATTATAGCCTCGGGGAGATAGTAAGGTTAAAAATGGGCATGAAGACGAGATAGAGAGTAATGGGGATAGTGGCCATTTACAATGGGGTTAACGAGGATGACCTGATAGACAGACACGAGAGACAGAGTCTAATAGACTTCAAGATGGCCGACCTGAAAGACGAAGTAGATATTCAAGGCAAATGTATAGAGAGGTCAAATTTATCTATATTATATATCTATTTTATATTATATATTTATTTTATATTATATATCTATTTTATATTATATATATATATATATATATATATATATATATATATATATATATATATATATATATATATATATATATATATATGTCCTTAACGTCTTAACGTTGTTGTAGAATTGTGCGCGCGCGCATGCGTGTACGCGTGTAGGTGTGCACATGTGTGCGTCTGCTTGTATGTATGTTCGAATGTACTCACCCAGTTGTACTCGCCTGCAGGATCGAACATCAGCTCTTGGACTCCTCTTTTCTAGCAGCTGGTTGTCTAAGGCAATGACTCCTGACCTATTTCCCTATCATTCCTACTTTTAAAGTTATGAATGGAGTTTGCTTCCACAACCTGCTCCTTTAGGTCATTCCATTTTCCCATTACTCTTACACTAACAGAAAACTTTGTAACATCTCTCTAACTCATCTCAAGCTTCCATCTTGAATACCTTCTTGGTATTCATTGAGAACAATTCCTCTTTTTCCACTCCGTTAATTCCCCCTAAGTATTTTATACGTCACTGCCATGTCCCCTCTCTCTTTTTTAGCGTCGTCAGGTTGAGTTCTTTCAGCTCTTAATACCGCATTCTTCGTCATTCTAGGGTGAGCCGCGTTGCAAATTTCTGAACATTGTCCAGCTTGTGAGTTTCTTCAGGTAGGGGCTGCATACTCTACGACTGGTCTCACGGAGGTGGTGGTCGTTATTCTATTTATATGAACCTCCGGAGGTAAGCTTGCCGTTATGTCCACTCCCAGGTGTTGTTCTAGAGTCATTGTAGGGAGGTAGTTTCCCTTCACCGACTACTGTCCTATTGCTCTCCTGTCACCTGTTCCCAATCCATTACCTTACACTTCCTGGTGTTGAACTCCAGCAGTCATTTCTCGGATCAATTTTGCAGATTGTTTAAGTCCAGCTTATCAGCTGGATTGTTAATCCAGCTTATCAGCCGGATTGTTAATCCAGCTTATCAGCCCCAACTGTCATTAGGGTTGCATCGTCTACAATTAGACTGCACATCGACCTATTTATTTATTTATTTATTTATTTATTTATTTATTTATTTATTTATTTATTCATTTATATACAAGAAGGTACATTGGGATTGTGAGGATACATAGCATAGTATTTACAATCTTGTAAAGCCACTAGTACACGCAGCGTTTCGGGCAGGAATGAACAGTCTCCGTGGTGTTGTGGTAAGACACTCGCCTGGCGTTCCGCGAGCGCTATGTCATGGGTTCGTATCCTGGCCGGGGAGGATTTACTGGGCGCAATTCCTTAACTGTAGCCTCTGTTTAACGCAACAGTAAAATGTGTACTTGGATGAAAAAACGATTCTTCGCGGCGGGGATCGTATTCCAGGGACCTGCCCGAAACGCTACGCGTACTAGTGGCTGTACAAGAATGTAACAACTCTTGTATATATCTCAAAAAAAAAAAAAAAAAAAAAAAAAAAAAAAGATTGAAATTTAGATAATTTAGAGTCCCTAACATGACCTATGAGATTCAACTCCTGCAGTCAAGGCATTTACCTAAATGAGAAATAGTTTGGGTCCCAAGACCGATCCTTGAGGCACCCCGCTTGTCTCCCTACACCAGTCCGATGTCTCGCCCCTCACTGTTACTCTCTGGCTCCCGTCTGTTAGGTAATTATTTACCCATGTTAGAGCTTTTCCGTCTATTCCCGCCTGCCTCTCGTGTCTGTAGAGTAGCCTCCTGTGTGGTACTGTATCAAAGACTTATTGGCTGTTCAGAAATACACAATCTGCCCAATCTTCTCTGTCTTGCCTTATTTTCGTTTCCTAATCATAGAACTCCAGTAGATTCGTCAAGCAGGAGATCTGTTCTCTAAAACTGTTGATGTTTGCTTACACAGCTCATGCTCTAGATGTGTCGCTAATATTATTATTATTCTTCATTCGAGAACTTTGCAAAGAATGTTTGT